ACCAATGATTACTCGAGTCAACTGAATTCTCCAATGCTTGTGTTGACAGCCAAAATGTTTCGAGTAAATCGGAACTGATCTTTAGCTATAAAAATGTCTGCTATACAACCATTAACAGGAGTAGGAGAGGCGAGGCCTAAAATCATCTGAAAACCTGACCGAACGTGAACTCAAAGAAGCAGCAGCGAAACATTTTCACGACAGAATTGTCTTATTTTCAACCCATTTTAATAGTTGTTTCCCCGTCAGAGAACTGTTCTCAAAACAACGCTTATGTTAAATGTGACACTATTTAGCTATGATAATTGGCTAACCATAGAAATTAAAACAGGAAAAACTTAAGGCGAAAATGAGCTATCCCGAAAGATAGACTGATCGATGTTAAAAAAAGATTTTATTCTATTTACGAAAAAGATTTCACAAAAGACAGTAAAACCATGGAAAAAGCCATGTGTGAGGTCTTGCCAAGTTGATTAATGTCTCGCCGGTGGAGATAGGAGGAAAAACAAATGTTTAGATATCGGCCAGACCATGGCGGTCATAAAAAATTCGGCTTGAGACGATCGCCGATACAGGCAGGGAGAATCAATGTTAATTATCTTTCCAAGATATCGTTTATTTTTTTTTCTTGGCCACCGGTGAGAAAAAAGCAATGTGGCAACTATAAAATTTTGGCATTGTCTTGACATAGGTGAGAGGATTGTTATTATTTACCTTATCAACGTGATATGGCGTTTGTAAAATTTTGGCCTGAGACAGAAAATAGTGTGGAGAATTGAGATTTGGCGAGATAAAAGAATTTAATTTCTCAACAAGGCAAGGATTACATTATAAAGCTAACTTCACAAAGGGACCAGATGGCAAACTTTGACAGCGATTGATGGAGTCGGTAGGGTGTGCTGGCTAAGTGAATTCTGGGTGGCCAAAAGATGTGATAGAAATTTAATTTGCATCCATAAGCAATTCGTAAAAGTTTTGGTCAATGAGAAAAAAGGAGAATTTTGTAAACAAAAATTCTAGATTATAATTTTAAGGAGGCCAGATTAATCACACCCGCACGGCCGGTATGCCATTGGTGGAGTGGTAGCAATGGTGATAGGCGGAGGTGAATGGATGAGAAAAACGGAGAAGTTATTAACGCCCACTGATAGGGATTGGTATGAGATTGACAGATTGTGAGAGAGGAAGAGTCTAGGAGGATAGCTCTCCTCCGACCTCCCCTCATGGACGAGGGAGACCCCCACCCCCGAAATGGAAAGTGATTAATTTTCCAAAAATGGGAAGTAATCAATTTTCCCGGCCTGACAACAAAGAGATTTCTTGTTAGAAATCGAAATTTACTGAGAACCACAGGCCGCGTCTGGCCCACACCGGATTTTGGTCGGTACCCATATGAACGAACGTCCCCGGGCAGTGAGTCAGAGTCAAACCAGAGTGTTGCCTCACAGAAGGTGACCGAGAGATTCCACGACCTCTGACTTGCCTATCCTACCTATAGCAAGTTATACTGACGAACGAAGCCAAGCCAACACCTAAGAACTAAATCAGTTGATTTAAGATACCAAATTGCTTGAAACATAGAAGTGTTACATTTCGTAGAAAACGGGCTGGGAGAGAAACACACTCCTGTATATAACAGAAGGATAAAGTTAATTTGTTATTTCTTAACATACTTGAACCTCGTGGGTTTTTCTTTTCTTTCTTTCTTTTTCTTTACGCTTGTGCGATACCACCTTCAATCTAGACTCAGCCTACACTACGGCCCGACGCCTTATTGATCTCGTCTACCTAAGATCAAAGTCACAAGGTGGGTAGGCTAGACTTGAGATCGAAACAGTTACTCCAGTAACCAGACGTTGCAAGTGAGCTGGGAACGATAGAGCTAGTATTGAACCGGTACGGCTGGTGAAGCCGTTAACATCGACGACCAGAATTCGACCCTGGACGGGCTAGTGTCCCATATTGGTATCCTGACCAGAGGATTTCGCCGAGTAGCGACGACCACCGATCGACCGGGACACAGGCTGGTGGCGGCGACAAGGAGTCAACCCCAAAACGCCGGTAGAACATTACAGTTTCGCGCCACGACTGAGAGTTGACCACGGGTCGACGGCTGTGCGTCACATAAAGATTCTGAAGGCACGAACGTATTCTGTCAAGAACTTTGAAATTGACATCAAATCACAAGATTCATTAAGAACATTTACACTTTTTACCTTCAAGGTAAGTATACACTTTTTTAACTGGGTCCGACCTCACTGAAACTATCTTGTACATTCTTCCTTGTAATTTGCATTGTTTTGCATACGTTGGCATTTTCCTTGTGACATCTCAGGTTATTTGATTCTAAACTTCATCTTTTTCCCACAAATACCATTGAGCCTTATTTTAGAAAAAATAAATTACGTGTTCAGCAATTCATTACTCCCTTTTCTGAGCACACAAACACTAAATAAAATTTTCTTTTCTTTTAATAAAATTGTTTTGATACTAAGTATTTTTCATAATTTTTTAGGGTGCGCCTTGTTGTCGCTTGATTCGCCCCAATGTCTTTTAATCGAACCCACAAAATAGTTTTTTGCTTTTTTCCATAATTCATAAGGAGAATGTAACAAATCTTTTTCTGTCCCTCTTTTGAATGTTATTCGTTTTATCGATTACCGATATGAAAACGTACGTTCATAAAAAGAATGTAAGCCCTCTTTCTATTTCACCCATTTCAATTATATTTGTCATTGATTACTGAAATGAAAACTTGAGTTCATAAGAACAACGTAATCTGTTCTTTTACTCTTTTGCATCTTATATGTATTCCCGATTACTGAGATGAACACGGACGATCAGAAAGAGAAAGTCTTTTTCTATCACTTTTGGCATAGTATTATCAATTACTGAGATGAAAATGTATGTTTCTAACAAGAATATAACTTTCCTTCTTTCACAATTTTAAATCTTATTCGTATTATCGATTACTGCTATGAAAACGAACGTTCATAAGGAGAACGTAACCAGTTTCTCTCTTCCAGTCTTTTGCATATTATTTGTATCATTGATTTCTGAGTTGAAAACATAAGTTCATAACAAGATCGTAACCAGTCTTTTTCTCTCTGTCGAATCTATTTTTTTTTATTATCGATTACTGAAATGAAATTTCAAGTTCCGAAGGAAAATGTAAGCAATCTTTTTCTCTTTTGAATCTTATCCACATTTCTTACTGCAATGAAAATATATAATTCTAAGGAATTTTATTTGTATCATCGATGAAAACGTTCGTTCATGAGAACGTAAGCATTCTTTTAGACTTTTGAATCTTATTTGTATCATCGATTACTCAGATGAAAACGTATGTTCATGCCAAGAACGTAACCATTCTTTTTCTATTACTCTTTTAAATCATTCGATTACTCAGTCAGGGTTCTCACAGATCTTAAAAAAAAAAAAATTCCAGGATTTTCAAGGACTTTCCCAGGACTATGTTAGCTTTTGCTACACATGGCACAGAACATAACGATGTTGACCGTTTTCAGTGTATCTAGTTTATCATTCAGCTCCTCTTCTAACTTTGAAATCTCTATGAATTTGTCATTTGTAGATATTCGCGTGGCATTGTGCGACACTATAAAGGGTCACTGGTAGTATGTGAAAGAAATGTGACACTATCGTGACATTAGTGGTTTGGTATTAGGATTAAAAGGGTTCATGCGAAAACCACGTATAGAATTGGAGCATTGGATGGGTTGAAAAAACTTTAAACAAGAAAAGATTAAAGTGAGAAATGAAAATTTTTTTTCTGATAAATATAAGCGCACATAAGAATTGTTATGAGTCTCCAAATGCTGCAATGTAAAACAGTAGAAAATTTTCTTTTGCCGATTTGAAATAATTTTGTTTTGATAAAAACGGCCGATTGTCGCAGGCAGCATTTATGTATTATTTCAAATCTGGAATTATTTCAAATCGGTAAAAGAAACATTTTCAATACGACCTAAAGGTTGTATTGAAAATGTAAACAAAGAAAAAATCTTGCAATTGACTGTTTTGTCATTCAAGGCAGAGGACCGAATGTAGGTAAAGCCAAAAGTGTAAACAAAAAGGAATTGCAGAATGGAATGTGGAGTCCAAAATATGGTTTGGAGAAATGTAAATAATTTGGAGTGTTTTTTGAAACTGGATGAAAGAACTAATTGGGTCGTTGAGAAACAAAAAAAAAAACTGATTTGAAATAAAATTTCTTAAAATTTTTGTTTGGAAATCAAAGTTTATTGTTATGAAATACCAGACCGCTTTGTTTCAGGGTCAATGTCATGACTCCATCCTTTATAAATCTGAAGTTTCATGATCATGCCTAAAAGATCATCTGCAAGGAAAGGAAGCAATTTTATCAGAGACGGTTCAATGTCTTTCAAAACAGACACAAAAATCTGCTGTTTCACTGGAAATAAAACATTATTCGAGTCTGACAGCACTGCAGAAAGGATTTTGTCTGGGGACATTTTTCTGTTCACAATTAAGTTCACAAATTTGATGACATCTGGCCAAATATCTAAAAGTTGTTCACATGTTTCTACATTTTCTAGCTATCTATGGCAGAAATATATATGAGGGAAAAGGTAAAGGGTTGCTAGATTGTACTTTTAATATAAAGCCAAGCAATAAAAGTGAAATCTTAATATATTCCATCATTTTTCACACAACAAAAGCTAGAGATGTAACAGAGAGAGGTATACACATACACACACACACACACACATTTTTATTATTATTGAAATTGGAGTGAATCTAGCTAGTGAAATTAGATCGGAGCATGTTGTTTATTGATGAGGAGATCTGATCACGCCTTTGGAATTGGAAATGATCTAAATAAAGTTTATCGGTTGGGGATTGAAATAGAGCTTACTCAGGCTATGAGAACTTTGTAACTCACATGATTTTGGGTTGAAAATGGCACTCATGATAATCACGTGCAGACCAAGGGCTGATTTATGATCAGTCAGATTTGTCTATATAAACGCGTGGTTATGCTGAAAAAGTGCTAAATAGAAGAGAGAGACGAGAGAGACGGAGATCAGTCGGCACATTACGGGCCACACTGCTACAAGCCAGACGGAAGAGGCAGAGAGTGGTTGGCTGGTCTGCCATCGAGTGCAGATGGAAGAGAGAGATGAGAGAGACCGCGATCGGTCAGCACATCGTTGTCGCGTGCGTGAGCACCCGCAGGCGACCATTACGGGTCGTGGTGTTACAGGAGAGATGGAAGAGTTGGGGAAAGAGACTGTAGTCAAGAGACTATCGTCACAGTCTTCGAGAGATTTGCGGGAGAATCTTAGAGGAGAGAAGGAAGACTGCCCCCTGTTCTGAGAAGTCTGTATGAGACTGGACTATTAGTCATAAACCTACCCCAGGCGATTAAATACGCGTTTATCACACACAAACCCTCTCTCTGTTGGGAATTTGCTGGATGTATTGTGTCTTTTTCTTTTCTCATTTATGCTAAATGTTTTTATTCTCCCTGTAACCTCTGTTCTGATGTTATCTTCTTATATTAAAAGACGTCAATATTTCCCCCATTGCTGTCCGGCTTCTGCAGATATTATTACTTGTTTTATTTTGCCACATTCTAAACTTTCTAGCACCAACTCTCACAGCCGTGTCCATATCCCCAGTCGACCGTAAACGTATGGACAACACCCCGCTTACTGGATCTAAAAACTAACACAGCGTGGGAAGCGATCAGGACCAGTTGACCGGTCGAAATAATCTACGGGTACTCATGGAGCGTACAGCCAGTTACCCCTAAGTTCGGTTCAGACCGAGTGGACACCTCAACCCAAAGAGGAAGACGGCGGAGGTTGAGGGGCTGGAGACGAAGTGGTAGAGAGCTATGGGTTATCATTAACCTGCAAACTTTAAAAATAACATTCTTATTTTTTCAAAGACGCATTTTCTAAGAGACGTCAAATGCACATTTCTATCATCCCTTCCGTTCACATTTTCTTTGAGTCAAATTTGATTCTCAAACTTGTTACTTTTGGCAACAATTTATAGACAAACATCACTTACACATAGATACACATTGACACAGGATGTGTAAAGTATCTATTTTTTTCAGCATAAACTCACCCATCTCTAGCTCGACATCAAAGGGACTTTTACTTTTAAAATTGACATTTGAATAAAATTTCTTCACTTGTTCAAATTTAAAAAAAAACACTGACAAAGTTTTCGAGATATTTTATTACTGTAAAATAATTTATTATTTTTCTTTTAACTGCAAATTGACAAAAATGTTTACTTGTCTTTAATGCCTTTTATCTTTGCTTTTCCTTTTGTTGAGTGAGGGTAGTAGCTAGAAGAAACCCCCTCATATTCTTTCTCGCCACCTAGACGAGAAAATACAGAAGCAACTACGAGGTCATGAACTTGTTCTAATCTAAGAAACAAACCACTGTTCGCAATAATTGCCAAATATTACTGATTTAAAAAAAAAAAAAAAAAAAAAAAAATATTTAAAAGCCAGATCTTTGGGATTTGGCATTTTGATTTTCATGAATTGAAAAAAGGGATGTGTGGGCTGTAGTGTAATCAAAATTACGTCCCTTGGGCCCTTAAAAAAATATAGACTCTTCTAGCTACGAAAATACGAAAGCCCCTTTTTTAGGCTACGTGGGCACTTTTGTAATGGTAGTCAATTAGTAAACAACATCTTCCCTTCAAAACAACACAGTGTCAGAAGTGGTATATTTAAAAAAAAAAAAAAATTTAAAGAAAAATATTCTGAAAAAAAAAAGAAAAGAAAAGAAAGCACTTTATCCACATTCAAAGGAAAAATCAACGCATTGCACACATGCAATTTCGAAAAAAAAAGAAAAGATTTCTTCACAGACTTGTAAGTAGATATTTTTTTTTTTAAATTGTATTAAAACCATGGCTCAAAGAAGTTTCAATGCCAATATACTGCCGCCTGCAAAAATGTCTTTGTCAGGGACTGTTGCAAGCAATTGGAGGAAATTCAAGCGTAATTTTTTAAATTATGCTGTGGCGAGTCGATTATCAAACGAAGTTGACTCGGAATATCAAACTTCTGTTTTTCTTTCTTTTATTGGCGAAGAGTGTTTTGATATTTTTGAAGGGCTACATTTTAATTCGGAAGAAGACAGAAATGATCTCAAAGAAGTTATTAAAAAATTCGAGGAATTCTTCGTTGGTGAGACACACAAAAGTGTATGAATCGTACAAATTCCACCTTCAAAAGTATAAAATCTTTCATAGCTGTTCTACACCAGCTTGCAAAAAATTGCAATTTTAGACAATTGACGGACAGATTAATTAGGGATCAAGTCGTTGTTGGGGTGAAGGATGACATTCTAAGGGAAAAAATTTTAGCAGACAAAACCCTAACCTAAGATAAATGCCTTCAGATTGGTAGAGCACATGAAACTTTAAAGCAACAATCACAGGTTACATCCTCTGCACATGCATCAGATATGCAGATAAACCGTGTATCTAGAAAAAATAAAAATTTTCATAATATTGATAAAATAACTGAAAAGAAGTACATGCGCTGTGGATATTTTATTTCACACAGCAGAGATAACTGCCTGGCAATTAATACAAAATGCAAGAAGTGTCATAAACTAGGACATTATTATACAGCTGTATGTAAAAATAAATCCGTAAGGGGAGTTGCAGAGGAAGAAACCACTTTTTAGGATCTATTTCATTGGGGAATATTAAAGACAGTGAAGTAAACAAAAAAACTGATTGACAAGCTAATATTAAAGTCACCACCGCAATCTGCAGCAAAATAGTCAATTTCAGGTTAGACACAGGCACAGATGTGACTGTAATACCAGACCGGTTCTTTAGGAAGAATTCTCCTATCATAAAGAAAACCAACAATTATATGGACAAGGTCAAAACAAAATAAATCTCATTGGTAAAGTAGCTTTTTCTATTGCCACTCCCAGACGACCACCTCTCCCTATGAAGCAAAAAGTCCAGGAAGAGCTTAACAGGTTAGAAAAAAAAAAGACATCATCCACCCAGTGAAAATTTGTGAAAAAGAACGAAAATATCCACCAGAGTCATTACAACCAACCCAGTTATCTGACTACCCTTGGCAAAAAGTAGGGATTGATTTGTTTGAACAGAAGGGCCACAAATACTTGATAGTCATAGACTATTAAACAAGATGGATAGAAATATCTCATCTACAAAATACCATTGGAGGTAGTATTGTAAAACACTGTAAATCAATATTTGCTAAGTATGGTATACCGGAGATTGTATTCAGTGACAATGGTCCTCAATTCATATCCAAAGACTTTGTGGATTTTGCTAAAATCTATGGCTTTGTTCACCTCACAAGCAGCCCTCATCATCTGCAAGGAAATGGTGAAGCGGAACGTGCTGTCTAGACAATTAAAAGTCTATTTATAAAGTCGAGTGATCCTTACATCACTTAACTCAATTATCGCACCACTCTAATACAACATGGCCAGAGTCAAGCAGAATTGTTGATGAACAGGAAACTCAGGACTCGCATTCCAGCACTCCCTCAAAAGAATGAAAATCAACCAAACGTTTAACGCGTCAAAGATAAAGATGCACAGATCAAAATGAAACAAAAGACTAATTTTGATAAACATCATAGAGCTAGAGAATGAACATCTTTTACACAAGGACAGACATTTTGGCTGAAGACACTTAAAACGAGTCCAGCCAAAGTTGTGAAAACTATTTCACCAAGGTCAGTTCTGGTTGAGACTGATTCTGGATTGCTTCGTAGAAATAGAATCCATCTTCGGAAAAAAAATGTTGAAACCAAGTTTCCCCAAATAGCCACACCAACAGAATCATCTATATTACCAAATACACGCAGAGACATTCCCGTGTACAGCCAGACATTCAGATAACTGCGCACAGGGATACCCGACCTGTTACCTCAGAAAGTCCCAAACCTGTATTTACAAAGAGTGGTAGAAAAGTTCGACCACCCAAAAAACTGTCTTTATAAATTTATGGCTTGAAAGAGGGATGTAGTGTAATCTAAATTACGTCCCTTGGACTACTAAAAAAAATATAGACTCTTCTAGCTATGAAAATACGAAAGCCCCTTTTTTAGGCTACGTGGGCACTTTTGTAATAAGAGTCAATTAGTAAACAACATATCCTATCTTCACTTGTTATTCCCTTTTTGTCCTTCTCCGTTTTATCATTACTAACCTTTCAAAACAACACACGGGCAACCCAAGTTAAAAAATTCCAGGACTTTTCAAGCTCTGGAAAATGCCCTGTCAATTTTCCAAGACTTCTCAAGGATTCCAGGACCTGTACGAACCCTGTCAGATGATAATGTACATCCATGATGAGAACATAACCATTCTTTTTTTCTTTCACTTTTTTGAATCTTATCACCCAGTTAGTAGACTCCTTCTTCTGTCTTTCTTTCTTTCCCTTTTTGTTTGATCAACTACCCTGGAGATCCCAGTGTCACAAGTAATCAATAATGCAATTAAGATTTGAAAGTATTAAAGAAGAAGGCATCACACTCTCCTTGAAATCATATGTTTTCATCTCAATAACAAATATGAATAAGATTCAAGAGAGAAAAAGACTGGTTACGTTTTCCTTTGAACTTAGGTTTTCATCTCACTAATCGATAATACAAATAAGATTTGAATGAGAGATAGAAAATAACTGGTTAGGTTCTCCTTATGAACATACATTTTCATCAATAATAATCAGTAATCAATAATACAAATTTATTATTGATTATTGAGATGAAAATCTGAGTTCAAAGGTAAACATAACCAGCCTTTTTCTTTCTTGAATCTTATTCGTATTTGTTATCGAGGGAAAAGGGAAAGAAAAACAGAAGAAGAAAGAGTCTACTAACTGGGTGATAATTCTTCAAATCTGCAGGAAGATGGATTGAAAAGTTAAATTAAAAACGAAAGGCGTTGGAAAATCATGTTTCAAAATAATTCCAAGGAGAATCGAACCCAAATTTGACTAGACGGAATTCAGTGAGATTGAGCAAAACCAAGAATATCCTTTATCCCCTGCTCCCCGCCGATAAGAAAGAGATCATTAATGTATTCACAAAGATGTCAAATATAAAAAAAAAAACGTTTTCAATAAAGAAACACCAGGTGGTCACTGAAATAACATTTACGATTACTCAGAAAAAAACATCTAGTTTGAATCAGCCATGCAGAAGAAGTGTCTTCACAGAGAGATCAGCCTGGCAGACTCATTCATTATAATTTCTGTGACATTTGTCAATAAAGATTTTATATCTGACATTAATTTGGATTCCTTTGGATACAAGTGATAAAGATAATTGATTACTATTTTGGAGTGACCATGGACTATGTGGGCTTGTTGATCATAAAAAAAAATGCATAAAAAGAGGAAAGATAAATTTTTATCACTAAAGTTGGAAATATTTTTCTTTCTTTTTCACTTTTTTTTTGCATCTGAAAGTTTGCATTCATTTTAGGAATGGTGTGTCACTCCTTGGAGTTGATGCTGAAAAAGTGGGAGAAGGAAGTGATGGATTTGTACCACCTATATGGAGCGATGGTACAAGATGAGACATGAAGGAAGTTGGAGTTGGGAGAGAGGCTTGACTCCTCTGACCACTCTCAAATGAGGGTTGGACAACCACAAATTTGGAAAACCACTTGAGTAAATATATTTTGAGAATATGTAACTTTAGAAAATGTTTGATACTAAGGGTGGAAGACAACCAAACTCAGACCCTAGTCAACTGCACTCCTGCTAGATGCAGGAATCCATATAAACTGAAGGTTTGGAACACATCTTCCTGACCAAGAGCTTGTGCCACCCCTGAAGACCAGAACTTAGAAATTTAAGTTAACACAAGCTGCAGACTCCAAAGGGTTCCCAGTGTCATTTGATTATACAGAGGTGGGAAGTGTTAAAACTGCTGGATACAACAAATTATATTTAAACCAAATCATTCTTACATTTTTGACCCAAGTTAATTCTTTATTCCAAAGAATTTTTTTTTTGAGTAGCTCCCAGCAGTTGACCCATCTTCACTTCAGTTTGCCCCATCAGTGATCTTCTTATCCTCAGAGATCAAAAACACAACTTGGTACAGAAGTGAATGGTCATGAACAGCTAAGTAGAGTGGAACCATGCCTATCATCATGATACAAGTGACAAACCATGTACACGTTAATGAGTGAGGAGTCAGCTAGATTGTATGGTGGTCTGAAGGAATCTGAAAACTAATGAGAAGCATAGGGCTACATTATTAGTTGCTGTGGACCAGGATTAATTCTTGGGGTTACATACTGTGATGAAAATATATAATTGTAAGAACGGTTCTCTATTTTTCATTCTTTTTAAGCCTGTGCTACAGATCACTAAGATAAAAATGCATTGTTCTAAGTAAAATCTTTCCCGTCTTTTCATATGTGTGTGTGCATGTATGTGTGAAAACTACGTAATTTCCTTAACTTCAGAGATTGTTTCTCTCTCCTAGTGTCCCTCTGCTATTCAAATGTAATGGATCCCTTTATCTGCCTTTCCATCAGTCTTAATTTTCCTTATCTCAGTCAGCTGTAATTACTATGTCATCAGTCTTATTCTGAAATATTCCAGATACCAAGACAGTTCCAACACTAGCTTGTTATAAGCAAAATGTTAATAGTATCCACAATTTTGAAAAATATCAGTTTTATTTCTGGTTTAGAAACAGGCTTTCTTGAAAAGTGACATATTTAATATATTTTGTAAATGAATATTTTAAATTTATTTAACAGTGCCTGCCAAAAAAAAAAAACTTATAAATTGTTCAGATCACCTGATGTTTTATTTTATAAATACTTATTACTGTTGTATTTCTTGTATGTGTCCATGTCTTTTGTTGTTGGAGCTCCAGCACCATGCTTGCCACGCCATACATAAGCTGAGTAAATATCATCTGAATACTTGTTTATGGGTGGCAACTCAACTTTGTATATACTGTCTAGTTTGAACGTACTAATTTCACACCTAAAAACAAAAATTAAAAATTTGTGAGTTAAAAATTTTGAGAAAATTAATATAAAAATCTTTCCAAATATTGATTACTAACAAACCAAAGAAAATGTAGCAAAATTACATCTCACTTTTTATTCTGATTTTTTTTTTCCTAAATTTTTAAATAACTCAGTTGTTGTTGAAGAAAAATCTTACTCACAAGTCATCATTTAATCTTGCTCTCTTTGCACATTTACCCAATGGTGATGATGGTTGAGAATACGACTCTCCAAATTTGGCATGCCTAGTAAATTATTATAAAAAATATGAAAAGTTAGATAAAAATACATAAATATATATTTCTGAATGTTACTAAGATATTTACTTCATATCAAAAGAAAAAGAATTACCTGTCATACATCGACATTCCTCGCTTGGAAGGCAAAATAATACTGAAGTCATATACTGCCTGTGTTGTAGGAAATATATCCTATGAAAAATGAATCATAACAATTAAAATATGATTCAAATAATTCAAACAAAATTTAAAGTATCTCTAAAAAGGATATTGAGAATTGCTTTTTCTAATATTTTAACTGAGTCTGACATTGAAGGAGATTCGTCCTTTGTACTTTGAAATTAATAAAAAAATCCTGAAAAAAAATCAAAACTTCTGGAATGCACCTGGTATTTTTCTAGATTGATAAGAGTTATTACATTAATTGTACAAAACTTTCAATTTTTGCTTACTTATGAACAGTTCACTTTAAGTTACTTTGTATTATAAAATAAAAATTACTATCATATGTTACTATTAAATGTAACAACACAAAGATTTTGCTATAAACTTAAACTTTTGCTATATAACTTAAACTATGCCAAAAATATGTAAAAACACAGAATTATTGATATGTCCTTTAGAGTTTAATATATTGATTACTTTTATTTAAATATTTAGATTTACAGTGTGACATACCTTGAAAGAGATCAGTTTACTGCCCAGAGTAGAATTATCTGAGTAGGAACTATCTGAGAGATCCACATCTCCCTCCATTTCATCACTTTCACTGCTGCTAGCACTTTCTTCTAGAGTCATAATATTTGAGCTTGCAGAGTCTTGCTTGGAACTAACAGATACATCAAGTCCATTACCACTTTCAAAAATAGATAATATTTTTAATGCAGAAATAGGAAGAACTGACTGTTTAAAAATATTTGGTTTATAATTTAGTAAATATTAATTTTTTATATTAACAAAAAATTAATATTTACTAAATTATACTTACTAATAAATTATTTATACTAAAAAATTATGAGATCAATCCTAAATGCAATAAAGATTCTGGCTATATTCATCATTTGTTTTGGTATAACTAAGGGGTATATATAGTGTAGTGTCTTAATAAACATTATCAGCAGGTGAACTCTTACACAAACAACTCCACAAGTCACACTCAGATACATTCATTAATAATTTTCGTTGTGTATGCAATTTACAAAAAAGAAACTCTTAAATTTTCCTTTGCTGTTTTGTTTAATAAATGTTATCTTGTATTGCAAATCAATCAGTCTCTGTTATTTTATTAATCTACCTTTTCACCACCATTATTTCATGTATTGTAATTATTCTCATAAGAAACCTTATACATTAATTATAGAAGTAACCAACACACTAAAATAATAATTTATATTGTTTTCCATTCAGAATTTTTCTCACTATATTTTCCAAAATAATATTCTATATCATTAAGTGGTGAATAAAAATATTTTTACATTCTACAACCTTTTGATACTGCATAAATGACCCTAGAACTGTTTTGCATTCACCTGGAAGCTGTTTTTCTGATGAAAAGTATTTCATGACAAAATACAAAAATTTGTTTGTGTATTTTCTGCCACGTGTCTACAGGATCTTCTGTTAAATCCACCATTCCAAAGAAGAATTAATACTTTGAACTTCACTATCTGAGAGGAGGAGCCTGCAACAATTATTGGAAACTAAAACATTAGGAGACAGAAAAACATTTCAACTTCTGCAATGCTTAAATCTCTGTCCAGCAATATGTTGAATGACAGTGTTTAACAACACATATTTATAGTGTAGCTGCCATAAATGGTACAGGTATCCTTAACAACAATGGGAGACAATGTACCCATGAATAAGCTGTGGAATATGGCAGATAAATTGATGGAAGTCATGACCCAAGACAACCTGGTCACAAATGCACAAACTCAGAATGATGATATCACACAAATACAGGAGGAAAATAAATTGTTGAAAACAAAAAAAAAAAAAAATTAAAACATTTGCAGCATAGCAGTTCATCAAGAAGGAGACAACGATACAGGAGTAACTCCTTGCAATTACAAGTACAATGGAAATGAATAAGCCAACAATCTTCGTCGACGTGATATGTTGGCATTTCAAACAAGTCGACTCTTCCACATAATCAACAGAAATTCGAAAACAATCTTCCCGATCGACATTGGAGCAAAGATGTTGCTAATCCCAACTCTCCAGTCAGACAAATTAAAGTACCTGGGAAAAATCACATTACAATTGATAAATTGTTCGATATGGACTTTCATCATGGCTGACATCACTACACCAATGTTGGATGCAGACTTTTGGCACCATTATGGATTGTTAGTTGACCTTGACACCAATTGATTGACACAAAGACTGACATCAAATCTACTGGCTGCCTAAAGTCTGCAACATTTCTCAGTCCCAAAGTTGCAGCAACAGAAGAAAATTGTGAATTTGCAGAAATATTGTCCAATTATCAAGACATAACTGAACCAAAATTCAACCCCCCTGTGAGAAAATATCACACACTGCATTGAAACAATTGGTCCAACTGTCTTCTCACAGCCTCATCGACTTGCCCCTGATAAACTAAAGATTGCCAAACAGGAACTCCAGAACTGAGCAAACCTCAGTGTAATTCATCCTTCGAAAAGCAAGTGGCCTCCACCTCTTTACATGGTACCAAAACAGAAGTCATCCTTATGGAGACCTTGCAAGCGGTAAGCTGAATGCAATTACTTGTTGGGATAGGATACCCCATTGCTAATAATCAAGATTTTAAAAACTAATTTTTTTTTTGTAAACTAACCTTATCAGATACCTATAGAGGACTCTGACATAAAGACAGCAATAAACAATGTCATTTGGGCTTTATGAAATTTTACATTTACCATTTGGACTTTGGAATGCAGCCCAATCATTTCAAAGATTCATGAACCAAGTTCTTCAAGGACTAAATTCAATTTTATGCTACACTGATGACATGCTTATTGTCACCCCTTCACTAGTAGAACATAAACAGTATTTAAAAGATGTTTTTGAAAGATTTGAAAATAAGAACTGATATAAATCAGTCTGAAGAAGAGTTGTCAGCCTTTAATTTGGCAAAGGAAAAGTTAGCTTAAGCTGGTAACTTCACTTTTCCCTATCATGAAGTAGATGCCTTGAGTTTTGCCATATATATATAATTATTTTATTTATTTAATATGTCTTTTGTGACAAGAATGTGATTTACAGTTTTAGTGAATGATAAAATGATTTTGCGTCCTTATACTAATGTAATTAAAGAATGCATTTCCTCAATATCAAATTAAATAACAATATTCTATACTGATCATGAAATACTTTAAAAACAGAACACTAACAAAAGAATCTTCAATAAGCTTATATTAAAAGGGTACCTAAAAATAAACTTACCTTGAATCTTCTAAAGGCCGATCAAGGTTTAGCCTCTGAGAAAATGGACTATAATCAGTTGCATGTTTAGGCATTAAATTCCTAGAAAAAACAAAATTGAGGAACAAGTTATTGATAAGTAGTACTACAATAACAAAAACATTTATATTAAGTTGTCATAGAAATATTTTCTCCTTGGTAAATGATTCCTGATTTATTGTCAAAAGCAATATATTTTTAAACAACTCTTCTGGTGTACCCACCCCTGATTTCCCCCTTAGAACTAAGGCTCTATTGAGTGAGCTGCACATAACCCCGTCATCGGTATTGGGCATTATCTCTAATTTAGACCCCCACAAGGCTAGTGGTGGAGATGGGATACCAGCCATTGTCCTGAAGAAATGTGTGCCTGAACTGGCCTCTGCCCTCTCCAAATTATATAACTACTGCTTCAATGAATCTTGTTTTCCAAACTGTTGGAAATCCTCATCCATTGTTTCCATCTTTAAGAACTCTGGTGACCCTTCTAATTACTGTCCTATCAGTCTCTTACCCCTCTTTGGCAATCTTTGAAGCTTTAATCAACGTCAAAGTGGTTAAGCACCTTACATCCCATGATCTGCTCTCTGATAAGCAATATAGTTTCCGCTTTGCCTGTTTTGCAGCTGGTGTGCTTACAGCCATCACTGAAATTGTTTACCAAGATCTTCATAATAAAAGAGAAGCTCGTGCTGTGGCTCTAGATATCTCCAAAGCGTTTGATAGGGTTTGGAATGCTGGCCTTCTTCGCAAGCTTCAGGGTTATGGAATTTCAGGTCGATTGTTTGACTTAATACAATCATTCCTGTCAAACCGTGTATTGAAAGTCATTCTCAACGGATTCTCCTCCAGCTCCTATCCCACAAATGCAAGTGTTCCCCAAGGCCCCATGCTAGGCCCTACTCTGTTCCTTATCTTCATCAACGATCTTCCTGATGTCATAGATTCCCAAGAAGTTTACTCCTGTCTCAAAAACAAATCTAGTGTTGTTGACAAAACTAACCTGGCCGTTTGTCTCGAAAAGGACCTCCAATTGGTTATCAACTGGGGCATGTATTGGCTGGTTAACTTTAACGCCTCAAAAACAAAACTGCTCTCTATTACTCATCACAGAGAACCATCTCTGCACCCCCATTAGAATGTCAGACACTCAACTTCTCGAGAGCTCCTCTTTGCAACTACTCGGCCTCACATTGACTGCTGACCTGAGATGGAACAAATACATTGAGTCAATAGCTCCGTCCACTGCAAGGAAAGTTGGCTCCCTGGAAATTTTCCTCGCCCAAGTCGATTCTTCAAATCTACAAATCAACTATTCACCCTTGCATGGAGTATTGCTGTCATATATGGTCTGGTGCCCCTTATGTTTATCTCAAGGTTCTTGATAAAATCCAAAGACGGATATGCAACGTAATTGGCTCTGATCTGGCATCTTGTCTGCAGTCGCTCTCTCACAGACATGCCGTCGCCTCCCTCTGTCTTTTTTACAAGTACTTTTATGGTAACTGCTACGAGGAGCTGCTTTCACTGGTTCCCAAACTTTATGAATTTAAGTGTTCTACTAGGCTGGCATCTCACTCACACCTTTTCACTGTCATAACTGTAGCCATCTCTTTTCAGTCGAAATATAGCCGTCTCTTCTACTCCAATAGCTTCATGTATTGCACATCTCACCTGTGGAACTCCTTCCCCTCTTCCTGTTTCCCTAATAGCTATAATCTCCAACTATTCAAATGTAATGTCAATCGACATCTCCAGATGCCCTGATCTATCCCTTATCCTTCTCTTCATCTTTTCCTCTATTACTCCTCTTTGCTCTAGCTCCAACTCTCTGTAACCCCTTGCGTGCTAGTGGCTTCCCGCCTTGCTTGGGGTGAAACGCTTATAAAAATAACCAAAAAAAAAAAACAAGTGAAAACCAATTTGGTATCACACTGGAAAAAAATGAACTCAAATTGAAATCATTAATAGGAAAAACAAAGGAAAGAAATATCTAAGTTATAAAAAAAGTTTCAATAAATTTTGAACTTGAAACATACTGACAACTCAAAAGATTATTTACATTAACTGGACTGTTATCCTCATCTTCATTGCCATATTCACAACATTTTGGCCATTGTATGATCTGGCCTTCTTCAGGTGATTGGAATTTCAAACCGAACTCTTTATTTCATCCACCGAGATAGATTGTTCTAGTTCCATGTGCCATGCCTCTTCCGGATATTTCAGTTATTTCCCTTTATTTCAACTCTACAAGTTTTTTGGTTCACCACTACTGTAGTCTGGTATTGAACTCTTTGTGTCTAGTCACTGGATCTAACCAACGCCTTTATCCACTGAGGACACATGAAGATATTGATTCAAAAATTCTTTTTTTTTTTTTTTTTTTTTAAATGTTATGTACCTTCAGGACATTAGCAATCATGGCTCTCCACAGATTCCCTTTTCCTTATTATCTGTGAATTGCCATGGCTTCTTAGGAAATAGAGTGGAGGGATTTCCTATTGCTTTGGCCACAGTTTGAAATTCTGAGTTTGTCTTCTCTTAGACTGCCACCTATAGCTAGAGAGACCAGTCTTAAAGAGCACAGATTATTTTAAAGAACAGCTAGTATATGAAATAAAAACTGATTCATTAAAGATATAAGCTGAATATTTATCTGGCTAAACATGAAATAATTATAACCAGTGATCTAAACTATTAATTTTCAATTGATTTCACAAATAATAGAATTGTTTCTTTTGAGTATTCATAGCATAACATTCTCTCATTGATTTAGTTCAGCCAAATTCTCTTATTTAAATTTTATGAAGGGATGAATTTAATACTATAAGCAATAAATAAAACAACACCTTACCTTATAGAATGTGTTACAGAGAAGCTAAAGAGGTCATCAAGAAAAGTCAGCTCATAAGGACGATAGTATTCATAAAACTCATCCACACATTCATCATTGGCTTTCTTCTTGGCTATTTTCACTTCACCATCCATACCCTTCATTGCTGAAGGAAATTGTGAAAGACAATAGAATTTCAATATTTTTATCATTATTTACATCTTTTACAGTTATTTCAAAATCATTACCAATATGCTTTCTAAACAAAATTTCTAATTTATGAAAAAATAAAAATATTGTGTCACTAATATCAGCAATTCCTTCAAACATGTTTATTGCAAAAGTATTAAAAAACAACATTCGTCTTTAATTATAACAATGTTTTAGCTGACTTCTGTTTTTCCAAATTCAAATTTATCAATGTTTTTATTAGTAAAACTGAATGAAAATCTCTTAATTCATGTTTTTTGTTTTTTTTACAGTAGTGTTAACCCTGTACAAAGCTCAAGGGTCACTCAAAGTAGAGGGTTATGCTAAGAGGTAGTTTATATGGATAGGAGAGGAAGATAACAGTTGACACTAGACTTGAGCAGGATAAGACTATTCGAGTGGAACTTACTTCTCGCTGATAGAATATGGAGGAAATGTGGGTGGTTTGATACTATGTAAATGGTGTGGTAGGTCCTAGCCATGAAGATCAGACCTAGTGGGACCAGGAGATGCAGTTTGTCCGAGCACTTTCCATGGTAGAGCAGTGAGAGACTTGCCACATCTGTGAGAGAGAGGTTGGAGGATGGAAAATAATTCTTCTCCAACACTTTTAAACTCTATCAAGACTGAAAAGTGAGATCTAGGCAGCTCCCTCCCAAATATGACAACAGTACTCCATTTTTGACTTGATCTGGCCCTTATAAAGGTAGAGAATAACATGAGGAGTCAGGTACTTACTGAAGCGGTACAGTGATCATTTTATCTGCAGGTACCTCCACTTGGTTGCGTAAAAAACAGTATAGGATGATGAAAAAGGCCCCAAACTCAATAAAAACAGAGTTTTATCATTAAAATGTTTGTGTTATTATTAAGAGGAAAGACCAAAGTAATTTTTTATTATTTTTTGAAATTTTTTATTCTTTTGTAAAATGTTTGAAATTTTGGTTAAAAATCTTGTTTTGGTCAGCAACGGACCAAAGATAAAGGTTAATTTTTGATGCAATTGAATAACCTGAGTGTCTACACTATAGGTAGTAACTACGTATAAGCATCTGTAAGTCAACGGAGCACAGAATCTAGCTGGGATCTGTTGAGTATGAGTCAGACTTATGCGAGAACTACTGACGTTCCAATAGTAGCACTCACTACTGGATTGATATTTTTTTTACTTTTTTTTTTGCGTTTTTTCCACTGAAAAATACATTGATTTGGAAATTCGTTCAAAAATCAAATAAATAATTATGGGATTTTAATGAAACTTTCAGGATATATTCAGAAATGAATGAAATTTTTTTTTTTTTTTTTTTTTTTTTTTTTACATGTTATCACCCACTTACTTAATTTCTTAAAATTTTGAGAAAATTAAATTTTAAGAGTGGGGATTTTTTTTATTAGTTATAAGCAAGACTCCTTGGAGATAGTAAATCATTTTTTTTTGTAAAACATTTAACCTATTCACCAAAATCTGCTCTTGTAAAATAATAAATGCAATAAAACTATGACATTATGTAATAAGAAAAGCCTTTAATTGCTTTGATAAATGAGATTTATTAAGGATACTATTGTCTTAAGAAGAAACTTTTTTTCAATGAATAATTAACTTTTACAAGAATCGTTTTCATTTTTAAAAATTTTAATTAAACAATTTATAATATTCTTCAAGCTGGTGGTTTGTTGATATTGTGAAGTGAAAAGTACATTTACAAATCAAAAATTGAAAAGCTGATAAGTTGTTTGTAACCCAATATTTTAAAAATAAACTGAGAAGTCTTTGATCATCAAGAGTTTTAGAGGTGTGCCCGTATATCATGGGATCATTGGCATAGATATTTACAAATGATTGGAGGATATTCTTAAGTAGATTATTTATGTACATCAAACAGTGGGTTGGTCTGAGAAGTGAACCCTGGGGGATGCTTGCTTTGACTGCCAGGGCCTCGGAGGACTGGCAGTTACTACCTGTTAGGAAGGGTTTTATAATAGAGAAAACCCTTCCAGTGATACCATAGATGGAGAACTTGTGTAACAAACCTTTGTGCCACACCTTGTTGAAGGCCTTCAAGATATCCAATGTGATGGCCCTTGTGGTGTGTGTGTCATCAAGGGCCTCACTAATTCTGTGTGTAATGCAAGTTAGGACATCAACAGTGAATCAGCCTGATCAAAACCCATACTGCTTGTTACACAAAAGGTTGTTCCTATCTAAGTGCTCAAGGACCTTCTTGTTGATTAAGGCCTCAAAAAGCTTACTGATGATACTGAGAAGAATAATGGGTTTATACTAGGAGGGGAGGATCAGTCACCCATGTTCTTGAAGACCAGGCATACACTTGCCACCTTCCACAAGCTTGGGAAAGATTTCTCCTTCAAGCAGCAGTTAAATAACTTTACTAAAATCAAGAGTTGATATTCTTAAGGATGACCACTGGAATTTTGTCTGAGCTCGTGCCTTTTTTGGGGTTGAGACTTTTGATAAGTCTAGAGACTTCTCTTACTGAAATGAGTATATTACTGAGATTGTGCACAGTGGGATGGGGGAAGTTGGGGAGGAGATGGCCTTTGTCATCTAAAGTTTGTGGCAAAGATTGGGTAAAAAGCTTTGCCTTATCTGTCAAGGAGCATATGATTTCAGGGCCATTTATAATAGTGGGTAGAGCTGCTTTGCCTCTGTATAATTTAGTTGGTGATCTTCCAGAATTTGCAAGTTACAATTTGTTTCTTTTCAATCTGTTGACCCATTGCATCCGGAACTCAGTTGGGTTCATCAATGATCAGGGTTAGTTTGTAAGCAATGGAGAAGTCTCTGCAATATCTGCCTTCTTCATCAGTTTTGTTAGAGTGGGCGAACTACTGTTTGTGGTGAACACTGAAATCACCACATATGTGATAGCTGATCAAGGGAAATTCACTGAGGATATTATCAATCCTTTTTGATATATTTGACCCACTTTCCAAAATATTTACTAGTGGACATAGAGGAAGTTAGGAAGGGACTATCCACCTTGAGCAGCATTTATGCGAATTAATATAATGAAGTAAAATATAAAATTAGATGTGCTATTTTAGATGGGTAGAAAATTCTATGACCACCATGGTCAGCACAAAGGCTAAGTGCATCACTGATTATATATCTGAGATGAAATAAATTGTGATCTACTGTTGAGTCCTTTTTTCTGTAGTTCTATTTAGCTATTATCATTATTCATTACATTTGCAAGGAACTTGGAATAATAAAGATTGTTGGATTGTCACAATAGTTATTTTTTATAACTTTGAAGCAAAATCTTGTACTTTTAAAAATATATTCCCATTGCTAAAAAAACTAGTGCAAAATCAATAAGATAAATATGAAACATCAATGTAATAGGACTAAAAGATATATGTTCAAAATAAAAGTAGTAAACTCAAAAGTCAAGAAGCTGCAATACATTTTGCTTCTTTTACAAACTTGCAAAAGTAAACAACTGACTGGCTAAATGAAAATAATTTGGAAAACAATTAAATTAGTAAGAAAAATAAAAGCACTATCTAGAAGAGTATTTATGATCTGTGTAGAGGAAGTACTCATCAAATATAAAAACATTTGCAAACGTGAATTTCACTAGTGGAGAGGTGAAAGAAAGAGGTGGTATAACAATAGAATTTCATGATTACAATGTGATATATGAGGGGAAAGTTCAGTTACAATGTTTTGTAACTGAATTTAATCTTACAGAACAGAAAAATGTTTTGTAACTTTGCAAAAGAAAAATTATAAATATTCCAATAGCAACATCTTACAGTTGTAACAAGGGACTTGGGAATGTCACCATCCTGCATGAAATTACAGGATAGTGATTTGGAGGTATTACTAATTAGATAATTATTAAAGTTTTCAGGAGAGTAGGTTGAATGGTTGAGAAAGAAAATGAAAAAAAAAAGGTTAAGAATTATGTTTTAAAATAATAAAATAGATTTAAGAACAGCTCCAAGGAGAATTAAAACTAGAATTAACTAGCCAAGATTCAGTAAAATTAAGCAAAACCAAGGTTCCCCACCCTATCCACTTCCCACCAATAAGAAGAAGACATAATTAATGGGTTGTCTGAATGGTCTTGAGAAATTAAATTCTGGGGATTGTTTATATTATGCTATCTATCCAAAATGTGTGTGTTCTTACAGAAGAGATGGCCTCAAATGCTTCTATCAAAGAAAAGGCATCTGTTTTTTGCTTAATTCCCAAGCTTGGTATTTGTTTATGTTGATACTATCCACCCAAAAAACACTATTGCTTTACAGAAAGAGAGAACAGAAAAATCTAAAAGAGAAAAGCAAAGGTGATATGGTTATTAACAGATCACCAAATTGGAGAAATCAGATATATCAATACCAAATTTTTTTTGTGGTAGGGTCGGCCATATAAAGTAGGGCCCACCAGACACACATGGAGAATCAGGCCAACAGGGACAGAGTCATCAGAGATTCATTCCAGCCATGGTCTCACAAGAAAGACACTCACAAATCCATAGCTGGAGCAACAAAGACACATGCACGAAAGAAGAATTAAGCGAGAGTTGACTAGCTGGTTATAACCTTAGTATTTGTTACTAGATTTCACAAATTACCATACCAGTAGTAAATAATAGAGACATTTTATTTAACCAGTTTTTCTTTATATTCAATAAACCTGTTGCTAGAATTATCAACAGTTTTGTGCATTTCATTGAAGGAATTTTTATTCCTGCTTGGTTCTCAACATTGCCCTCTGACATAAAGAAACAAAATTTACCACAGCTGTAAATTGAGAATTATTCATTCTTAACTACAGTACACAACATACATAGAAAGGGTCCACATTGCTGTCAATCCCAATATCCTAAGATTTTGGGAAGCCTGAATCAACCTTTTCAAGACGACACAACTGAAGAGGGAAAAGAAAGCCAAATAATCTATATAGATATTACTCAACAAAGCTAGTGGAGCTAGTAGACAACAAGAGACCCGAGAGAGAGTGTGAGTAGAGGATGTGGGTTATACAGTTGTCTAAATACCTTGGTGAATTGAACTACATTTGATTAAACATAAAATTATTTCCTGTCACAAGCATAATTTAGAAGTAAATCTATTATGAAAACACATCAAAATAATTCCTATTTGCCATTTGCTTTTAACAAGTGTACTAGGTTATGTCTTTTCAAGTCCAACAATGCACGGACTAATGTCAATTCAATTTATTCATTTGGCTGCATTCCTTTTCTTTTCATGCAGCCATTTACAAATATATCTATTATTAATATATTAACCTTAGTTCATCCTACACAATTTAAAATGACTGCTAAATTTTCAGCAATTTATATATTTGTTCTAATAACTCATAGACATTGGTACCAGCATAAATTACTTATGTAAATTTTGCCTATTTTATCATAAATTTGTTATCAAAGTAATGCCTTGATATTGTCTGCTGTTGACCAGCAGTGCAATTTCAATACACACTTTCATTTTGCAATCTATTACTGTTTCTAAAATAAACTGATAGAATACAATCAATAAAGACAGATTGTACACCTCATCCAAGCTAAATTAAATTTTGAAACTTTTAAATATTCATATAAAATCAACAATCATTTGACTTACCTTCTTCTAGTGACATGGGCAAGTAAAATGGAACATTTGTGTCCCACCATTGACAGTAACTGGTAAGAATAAAAATAAAACCCCATATATAAAACAGAAGATAACAGATTTATTTCTTTTAACAGAAAAGAAAAAGAAATTTCATGTAATTTTTCATGATTACATTTCAAATTTTATATTATTAATGACTGAGATAATTGAGAGAGAGCAGGCATTTTTTTATTTTTTTTCTGATAAACTAACTCATAGTATTATATGTCTTGTTATTTGCACAAGTATTTTCATCTTGGTCATTATACACACAAAATTTTCGCTGCTGTACCCTCCATCCTTCTTCAGGTGTCTGTCAAATTTACTCAGTAATCTTCTTGGAATTTTAAACTGAATCTTTTATCAGAAATATCTACCCCAGAAGATTGCATTCCAGAAGTTGCTGTTACTGTTTCCAATCAACCCTTCACCATTGTGCTTTCCTTGCTTATGAAAGATTCCATGTGTTAATTCTTACCAGTCTTATGCTTCTTTGTGTCACTTGTTTGTTTCTTCCATTGAACCAGAACATATAACTTTTCAGCATTACCAAGGATTGAAATCACAACTGCTAATCCACTATCTTCTATGTCTCTTGGGCAATCTAGTAGTGAAATTCTGGACGCTTAAACCTAATGTCTGTCATAGGACTGCATGAGTGTCCTGCTCAGGTGGTGAGATTTTTTAGTATTCTTTCATTTTTAATCAGAGGTTCTCAGATAGTATTCATTTATATGCTCAGTTCAAAAAGTCACATACTCTGGTCCAGTGAAAGAAATAAGCAAATAACACAAAGGCGGATAAGACTGAGGTGTATTAAATATCATAAAAGACAGAAAGCAAAATGAGAACAATCTACTCTGTAGATTGAATAATGGCTTAAGTTTAAAATTTCAATCTTATTGAGTTTGACAAAAGACACCTGAAAAAGGCCAGAGGATATAACAACTAAAATATTGTGTAACAGCCAAAATGAACATGCTAGTTGAAATAGTAAAGCATATAATAGTGATAATTCCAACAATAATTCATAGTATTCAATATTCAATTTGTTAAAATTTTTTGGAAATATCAGTAGATTCATTATTATGGCAGAATAGATATTATTTCAATACTTATTGATATGGTGCTTATTGGTGTTTCTGCTAGAAAAGAAACAAAATATAATGCAAAAGGGTTTTGTGACATTGAGGCTGTGAAGTGGTTACTATTGGGTATAAGCTGGAAGAGCCATGAAGTGGAAGATAGAGAATGGAAGACATTTTTTTTTATCTATTGAGGATCTGGCATGCAGTGAAATAAATTGAGAAATAATTTTATCTCTTCCTTGAGAATTTAAGAAAACCAATATTGTTAACAAGGATAGAGGTATATTTTCACTGATAAAAATGAATTGGGAAATTTAAATGAAAGTTAAATTAGAACAAAATCTCCTTAACGGTTGAATGTATGATAAGACAAAAGTTATGGAGACAAGAGAGTGGTCTGCTTTATACTTTTGCTGGACAGAGATGAGTCCAAGGAAATGAAAAGGAACCAGAAAATTAAAAATTAATGACTAGAATAAAACTCCATCTTTTCACCTACACACTTTAAAAATTAGATTTGTCACAAAGACAATTATGTCTGCCTTGGAAAGTAGGCTGAAGTTGAGTGTAGGAGGAAGAAGGAGAGTTTAGCACCACCTGTATGGAGTGTTGGTACGAGATGTAAAGTGAGGCAAAGTAAAGTGGAGATGAGGGGAGAAGCAATCCCTGTGACTACTCCCAAGGAAGGTAGATAATTCTCCAAATTTGGAAAGTTGATTAAGGAAGCAGAAATAGGGGACAAAAAATCCTTGTTGGGATTAATGCGAAAATTGAGGAATCACCAAATCCCCAGAACACATTGGCCCCATGCCAGTCATGGGCCAGAATGTATATAAGCAGACAGATTTGAGAGCTCAGACACTTTCACAGTGAATTTCCACATCAGTCCCTCTGGAATCCATGTCAGCTGCCATCAGATCTCCTGACTCTGAAGAACCCAGCTCCACCAGAATTTTTGATGAGGCCCAGTGTCACTATAGAAATTGATTTGTTGTACTAAAAGCTACATAAACCAAAGAAGAGGAATCATACCTTTCCCAAGGCTATTAGCATGTAAGTGAATGGTTTCGACTGGAATTCGAACTTGGCTCTGATTCTTTTACTCTTGGGAAAGGTATGATTCCTCTTCTCTTCTCAGTTATGGGTAAATAGCAGGACAGACCGGGCTCTATAGCTTTGAATGACAACTGGTGTACCGCAGAAAGAAATGGCAACCTACTGTGGGAAAAATTCTGATTGCCTAAGCATGTATCATGCATGGCACATAACTGACTGACTGTTATTTCTCTTCTAACAGAAGTGCAAGAACAGAATGGTGACAACTGCATTAACAATTTTATGTCTAACACTTGAACATGAACATTTTCACAAAGAGCCACTTGAAGCAACTGAAGACTATGAATAACTATATAGCACCAGAATAGACTTACACTGTTAAGAGGTCAGACTATTAAGACAACTTGCACTTGGTTTACATAATTATAGGTGGATTAAAAATTCTATTTAAGATCCATACTGATCAATTTCACTCAACCTAAGGTATTCATCCAGTCCCATGATGTTGTTCCATCAATGCTTTCTGTGCCCACTTTGTGTTGATTGATCCAGAAAAATAGACATTGACAGAGTTCAATAACACAAATGCAATAAGGTCAAAATCTCATCTAAGTGGTCTGGTTTAGCCCATGCAATAATTACCAGTAGTATTGGCAGCATTCAAAATAAATAAACTAGAGAGACACTTGGAAGCAAGTGTAAAGGGGTTTTATTGCAATATGATTAGAAATTATATATCCAACAAAAATGAAAATAAGAATATGTTGAACTGGTAATAAAAAATTGATGGGCAATTCTACTGAATTTGATCATGGGAGAATTGCTTTTATGGTTTATTAACTTTTGCTGATTGTTTTCAGCATTGTAATCACCCTTCACCACCCCATCCTAAATCCTTCATTTAAAATTATTTTTATGGGGAAGAAACCCTTATTCAGTTTTGTTTGATTGGTCAATGACTACATTTTTTTTGCATTGGACCTAATGAATTGTTTGCATAAAACTAAGATAAAGAAAAATAATATTTACAATTTGGATTCAATGGTAACCTTCAAAAATTTTGTTGTCAAAAGGTTTGCAAAACAATTCACTGAACTTTAAGCCAGGATGTCTCTGTTTAACATCACATGACTTGCCATTTCCTAACTTTTTCAAATGCCAATTTATCTTACTTCTATATAATAAATGTGAATGTTAATGTGTCACACCTTTTCAACTTTACTCCTAGAAGCCTGCAATCCTGAAATTTTAGATTCCCAAGTTTTCATTACAGCAATTGTTTTCAGATTCTGCCATCTTGGCTTCTACTGATAAAAACAATTAAATAGCTCATGTTCAAATGAAAAAAATTACTGTTCTCAAATTACAGTGTTTCAAAATAAAAACGTCCATGTTTTCAACTCCTGGAGGCCATAGCCCAACATATCATACCATTTTGGAATTAGGCCAACTCTACGAGCAAAGTAAAAACATTTTGGGGTGGATCCACACCTGCAACCTGGAAATCTTGGATTCTCAAGTTTTCATTACTGTGAATTTACATGATTTTTTTGCGACAAATTTTTTGTACAATAACAATTTTATAACTTGGAAATAAATTTGGAAATAATCAAAATTAATTGCAAAATCTAGCAAAAGTCACCCATGAAATAAAAATAATTGTTTGTACGGAAAGTATGGATGTACATACATCAAATTGTCTTTAAATTATGTGGTAGCAGTAGAATTATCATTGAACTTTTAAAAGGTAAGCTTAGATATTAATGCAATACTTAAATGCAGCAATCTTTTTTGAGTTCTTCTGTAGTTTATTGTTGCCTATTACATCTACTCCTCCCTAGCTATTGTGATGAAGGCCTAATCAAGAGCCCTCTGCAGGAGTTAGCTTAAATGTCGCCTGATAGGACAGCTTTTAAGCTAGTGATTAATATTTTCTTCTGACACTATCCTAAATATAACTTACAAAATTATTAAAACCTCTTTTTTAATAGAAAGATTACATCTCTTCTTAGACCAAATTTTGATCAATCTTCAATGCTAGCACACTACCACATTAGCTATAGTGTCACACTATACTTGAGACAAATAGCAATAGGGAAGTTCAAATCCTGAAAAGTCGTAAGTCTGTGGTCGTAATTCCAAGGGTCATAAATCAGCCTTGCAAGTCCAACATCAGAAAATGATGCGGGGGGGTTAAATCAAAAGAGTAAAAAATTCACATCACAACTTCCAATACACAACTATCTTCTTTCTCATGGAGAGCTGCATAATCCTGTGATCCGAAGTTGTATTCTTTTATTGAGGCAAGAAAGACTGATAGGGAAGACAAACAATTACCATATTTCAATGCCTACTAAATTCAACCTGATATTGATTCTGATTTTCTTTTTCAACAGATTGCACAAGAGAATACCAATTATTTTTCAAGGTAAGTTTTGGTTTTATCTTTTGTCACCACAATACTGCACCAGTCTAGGAATGCCAAGAATGGAGATCCACTAAAATACTTTATATGGCTGTATTTCCTAGACCAGATACTGACACAAGATAACAACAGTAATGTCATGATGTGGACGCCCTTCTTTTTAAGATTTTAACATTTGTCAAATGTTGAAACTTGTATACTGAAGATAGGAAAGCAATAAATCAGGTAAAGATGCCAATAAATAATCAGCAGAGTGTGTTGGAGGTTATATCTATCCTGAAAGAAAACAACTTTTTAGTCCTATATTAACTGTGTCACATTTGTTTTTATAAACTTAAAATAAATACTAGTTTGCATTAACAAGAGAAATATGAACTGTAAACCAGAATAAAATCATAGACTAGATCAGAAGCTTTGTAAAAACAAAAGTAGCAACAATATGCCATGGAAATCAATAGTTAAAACAAATCTGGGAATGTCTCATCTCAAAATTACAAATAGTATCCATCAGTTTATGCTTTCATTTTTCGCTTGTTTGAGTGTCTCTGAAATACATATTTGCATATTTATTTGTAGAGTAAATAATCTATATTGACATTTTGGAAATAGTCAATGTCCTTTCATGAAGTAACTTATTTAATAATTAATGGAACTGGATACATAATACAAAACTATTTCAACTTTTTAATGACAAAATATACTTTAATTGCTATTAAATCCTGTGGATGCTGTTTCTTTACAGGTAATTTGTTTCAAAAGTTATTAAACAAAAAATGCAGATAAATAAAATTTATGAAATAGTTTTGTATCTGATATATAAGCAATTTTGCTATAAAATACAAAATGATTACTTTTTTGATGCTTGAAAGGAAAATTAAGTTTTCACAGTTTTATAGATTCAAAATATTTCTCATGTAACAGAATTAATCTCATTGTTTTACACATATTTCAAAGATGTTATATAAAGTAATAGACAAATTCAGTAAAGAAAAGAAAAACTGTTATTGAAAAAGAGTTTATTTGGGAAAGAAAAAGGTAAAAAATGTGTTTGGTACACTCACCTTTTTCTCACAAGTGGATATTTCCCAGCTGCATCAAGATTGTGAAGATAATAATCAGTGGGTAACTCCCATAAATTTGGACAGGCTTCATTTGGAGCAAAAATTCCAAGAAATAAATTGATTGACTGTTGCTTTTCAGCATCTGAACAAATATAGACTGAGATTATAAATTTTGAAAACATTTCTGGGAAGTTAATGTCACATTACTTGAGGAGCATGTATGACTAATTTTCTATTTCATGTTGAAGTTTGTTTTTTTATTTACTTTTCAATTGGAAAGCAAAAAAAAAGTTTTGACATTCCAAGACTTGAAATGTATGTGAATACAAATGTAACAGAGAGAGGTTGACACACATGAATGCACACACGCAAATATAACGTTTATTGATTGAAGATGGAAAACACGATCTTCCGTGAAAGTTACAAACTGTGTAAGCGCTATTAATAGGAAAGAATCTAGAACAATGATATATGAAAGCTGAGACGGCTGATGGATAAAGAATAAATTTCAAATCAGGTTGGCAAGAACTTGTTTATAAACAAATGCAAAAGGGCAGGAGGCGATGTTTAATTTGGGTCATTTAAAAAAAAAAAAAATAGATATTCAAATAATATTTTGATAAAAACATATTGAAGTAAATTGGACCAGGAGGTAAGATCAGTGTATGTTTACTGTTAATTTTAAATCTGATCTAAACATAAGTTGTATTCAGAATTTGGTAATCGAAAAGACAAATGAAATGAACATTGAACTAATTAATTTTATCCACTAAGAGATTTGAAATAGATCTGAATTTAAACTTTTTGCTTATAATATGTTCAAGGTTTTTAATTATTAGAATAATGAACAACCTATTATAACCTTCGGTTTGCTATATAAACGTGAGTTTTGCTGAGTCGGGGAGACTTGGGCGTTAGACGAGTGATGTTGAGAGTGAGAGACTGTCGTTGCAGTGAGTCGGTCCAGTGGTGAGTCAGAGATAAGGACTTCAAGAAATATCATCGTTTTTTTTATAGTCGCATTGAAAAGTCGCTGAAACTTAACATTTGTCACTTACAACAACCAACTGAAAAGCTACACTTCCAAAAAAAGGGCTGGAATTAAAGGTCATGGATATCATGAGTTAATTACACAATAAACCTTCTCTCTGTTGGTATAATTGGTAGAGGAGTGGTCCTCTGTTTTTATGTTAATTGCTTTTCTATCCTTTCTGTAAACTTTTTTCTACTGTTGTTGTTTTCTTATATAAAAGACATCAATATTTTTACCCATTGTTATTCAGCTTCTGCAGATATTATTTCCTTGTTTTTCCACATACTAATTTTCCTGCCATTATCAAAAAGAAAGCTGTGCCTATCTCCCCAATCGATGGATGTTAAACGTATGGACAACACCCTGCTTACTGGATCTAAAAATAAACAATTTTTTGGGCAGCAGGCGGAACTTGGCCAGTGACCGGTCGAATTCAACTTGTAAAGAGATGTATGCTGAAAGAGTTATAAGCAAATATAATAATTTAAATGGAACTGGTAATTCAAGGTGGAACATATTAAGAGAACCTCTCGTGACAAACAAGATTAAATTCTCAAGATGCTGAAAAAAAGACAGTAACCAATGCCAAAGAATAGTAAAGAATATAGAACATTCAATGCAAACATGAGAAACAAATGCAGACAGGAAAATGAAACTGACTCAGTGAAAAGTGTGCAGAGAGAATGAGCATCATAGACATGGCAAGTATGCATAAAAAAATAGAAAAAAAAAAAAAAGATGTGATCCTCAACAAAATCCATATACACATATAAAGATGGAATGCTCATAATAGAAAAGGAAAAATACTCCAAAAGATAGAATGAATACATTAGAAAACTCTTCCACAATAAAATCTACTACATTAAAACATGGAAGAACCTGAAATATTAAACACTAAACAAGATGAACAAGAACAAAATAAGAGGAACAGATGGGGTTGTAATAGAAATGCTTGCAACCTTAGAGATTGCATTTGGAGATTGACAAAGATTACAGAAATAATATATGAAATATATGATAGTAACAACATACCAGAATGCCTTAATAGATCCATCTTTGTTGCATTGTTTAAGAAGCCAGGGGCAAATGAATGTGAAATCCAGAGAATCAGCTTAACTAGCCACATAATAAAGATCTAGATTTTGATGAATAGAGTGCATAGCAGAATTAGACAAGAACAGTATGGTTTCATTAAAAATACTGGGACAAGAAATGTGATATTTATAATCAGAATATGAGAGTGAGCAATACAAATGCAGAAGTAGATATAACTATGTTTTCATAGACTATACAAAATCACTTGATAAGCTATGACACAAAGATCTAACTGCTAGGAGAACTTGATTTATTTGGAAAAGATATTAGAATAATCTAAAACATTTAATGGCAACAAACCACCTGCATATAAATAGAAAATGAACTGAGAAAGGAAATAGAAAATGAACTGAGAAAGGAAATAGAAAATGAACTGAGAAAGGAAATAGAAAATGAACTGAGAAAGGAAATAGAAAATGAACTGAGAAAGGAAATAGAAAATGAACTGAGAAAGGAAATAGAAAATGAACTGAGAAAGGAAATAGAAAATGAACTGAGAAATGTGATTGAAAAGGAAACAAAAATTTACTATTAGAAAATGAACTGAGAAAGGGAAAAATCCTACAATATTAAATATTAACAACACAGGATACATAGATAACACCACTGTCTTCATGGTAGACACAGAAAAAAAAAACTGCAGGGATACTAAGACAAGGGAATAAAACAGAGTATATAGAAAGCACTAACCATTAATTGTAAGAAGACAATGTATGGTTGTTAGCAAAATGCAAGTTATGAATTGGGGATGTTGAAATCAAGGTATAGAAATTTAAATATTTGGGATGTGTTTTGATGACTGAAAATCTGGCACTGAAATTGGTATAACAAAAGATGCCTTCCAAAAGCTAAACAAAGTAGTAAAAAACATAAAATATTTTGTTGGAAACAAAGTGTGCTGAATTGTTATGTAATATCAAGCCTCATATATGGCAGTGAATGCTGGACAATTTCCCCACAGATGAAGAAACTTGTGGTTCTACAGTAGGATGCTGACAATACCATGGACGGACCAGGGAAATTTTAAAGAAAATGGAAACAAAAATGCTTAGAATAAGAAAGAGGTGAAATTTCTGGGATTGATAATGAGGAGAGATGGCTTAAAAGTTTTGACACTGACAGGACATATTGAAGGCAAGAAAGGTAAAGGAAAGCAGCAAATACCCTACCTAACAAGTTTGTGCAAAAATTGGCAGGACCGGGATTAGGATAGATAGCAAAATGACAGCATTTACTAATAGCTATAAATGACAGGAAATTGTAGAGAGCTATGCTTGCCTCACTCTGAAAGGACATTATGTACAAAAGAATGCAAATAGCATTTAGTTAAAAACAAAAAAATAATCTTGAAGAAAAGAAAAGAAAATCAATTTTTTATGAAATATCATTTTACATTATTGTTTTCATTATAATTATGAATTTTTAAAATAAAATACTAGATGAAGTACCTGTTTACATCAGGTTAAGAGTTTAAAATTTGGATCACAATTAGTTATAAAAACAATAGAACAGTTCCTTAGTACTGGTCTCTTTTAATCATCTGATAGAAACTTTTTTTTACCTTCCATCAGTATGGCTGATGCTAACCACTAGGAGAATATACTCATCGTGCTTTCTCTGGCAAACATTTTCCATCGAATGAAATGGAAAGATTATATTGAATCAGTTACTAGGTCTGCTGTTAGGAAAGTTGGTTTACTGTGTGTTATGCTAGACAATTTTTCTTGCCAGAATCTATCTTACACATAAGTCTACCATTCATCCATGCATTGAATATTGCTTCCATATCTGATCTGGTGATTCTGTTATGTATTTAGAGATACTTGATAAAATACAAAGAAGAATGCTGCCCTGACATCTCTGCTTCAGTCACTTTCCCACCACTGTAACATAGCTTTCCTGTGTCTTTTCTATAAATATTTTCATGGAAATTGTTCCGATTAGCTTTCCTTTTTGGTACCTAGACTTTAGGAATTCAAATGCAGTACTATATTGGTGACAAGGTCTCATTATTTTATAGTTGAAATAACTAGATGTAACCAAGTTCTGCACTAAAAGTTTCTTCTCTTGCACTTCTCACTTCGAGAACTCTCTTCTGACTTCTTGCTTTCCAGTCAACTTTTATCTTCAAAAATTTAGATACAATGTCATCTATTATCTTCTATATTCTTAATACCTGTTCTTTTATTTTTCTTCCACCTTAATGTTTTCTTTTTCTTATATTCTCTCACAGTCAGTAACCCCTTGCATCTTAGTGGCTTTATTATCTTGCTTGTGGTGAAATGATAAAAAAAAAAAAATGTGATGAGTTATCATTGTTTTCCCCCAAATCAAGTTATATGAAATGGCAAGATAAATTTAATCCTGAAAAATATTGCCATATAATATCTTATGCCAAGGTGAAACAAATCAAATCTGTAACCCAGAAATGTCTATTTCACAATTTTTGTTGCCTATTTTAATTAATTTATTATTATTATTATTCACAGTTTATTTTCATGTTTACAGTAAATGTATAAAGATGAATTCAAAAGAAGAAAACAAAAAAGATTTTATTTGTTTTTTTACATGTTTTCAATGAAAAATGATATTTTGGTGGAAAAACTATTTTGTGATATTGCTTTTTCAAAGTACAAAGATATTTTTATTGTCTGGATATTAATAAATGAAAAAAATTATAGTCTTACTCTAAAAGGTTACAAACAGTAATTGTTATTCTAAAAGATGTTTCCATATCACAGAAAAGAGACAGTCTTTGTTTCCTATGGAGAACAAAAGATATTTTATGTCAGAAGTAAGTATGTGAAGGTCCTAGATGAAATGCTTTAATCATGTATAACAAACTCTTTTGATATATATGATGGATAAAAACAAGCTTTTGGGTACTTTACCTGACAAATATACTTCAACTAATCTGATCATTAAATGATAAAATAATGTACATTATGGGTTAGACAAAACCAAACCTTACCTGAAAAGGCATTGCTATAATATCTTGATATAGTTTGTACCAGGTCGCGAGAGTTGTATGTCCATGTAGCAATCTTACGATAACCTTTTATTCTGTGAACCAACTGAGAACCACCATATTGTAAAGCTAGTGTGTTACCTTGATCTTCATACAACTCCTCCAGCATTCTGAAAGGGAAATATTTTATTAAAGCCAATAAATTCATTACACAGATGACTATGAATATATTACATAATATAATAAAGAACTGGGAATCTATTTTAAAATGTTGATTTCAAATATTTAAACAATTTGAAGCATGGATTTACTTTCTTTATACAGATATCAACAAGTTTTAATCGAGTACACAGATTGTAAATATATATCTGTTGTAAGAATAAGATAATATATGAAAAAGTGGTTTCTTACCTAACACAATCAGTATCATACTCCAGGTTGGAATTGGATATAATACCCATTGCATATAACTGAGAAATAATTGAGAAACGTTTTTAATTAATATTTTTTAAACATGCAAGAAACTAATTTTCATTGTACAATAATGACAATATGAGAATGAAAAGAAAAAAAGAACAAGATTTGCAAGTACAATGGTGAAAACGTTTTCAGTTTTAAAATGCCTTTTAATATTATAAGAATTATGACAATCAAAAGTATTTTAGGAAAATCTATGACATTGGGGAAAAAGTTTTTGTGTGATGTGTTTCATCCTTTAGGAATTCATTGGACTAAATTAATAAAATGGTTCTTGTTATATAAAAATTTAAATATTTTCCCAATTGAAAGTATAAAACTGATATAAGAAATTAGAATATAGAAATATTGCTTAAGTTTCACATCTTGATTATATCTTATAATAAAACAACTTACTAAAATTTGTCAACTCTAAATTGTATGTGACAAAAATTAAGATATATTCTATTCTTAAAAACTTAAAAAATTTTATATTTATTTCAACAAAATAGAACAAAAATATTTATTTTCTTGCATCATTTTAAATGAAATAGTACTCTTCATTTTGGCTTTATTTCAATTGTGTAGAAAAATTTATGAAATTAAGTTTCATTCCTTTATACAATTTCCAATAACATCTGTAAAAAAGAAAAACGTCTGTATTTAGCAACTTACATGATGTAACACTTCTACCTTTAGTCTGCTGATCAACTAACATATTATGCATTTTAATTATATTCTTTTTTCTTGGTTTATCTTCCTCTTTTGTTCTCAAGTTCACCTTATTTACAAAGGCAAAATTAGACATTTACTCAATGGACATAGTAGGGTCAAATCTGTTCATCTTCAAACTGGATCCTAACAAAGCATATGGTATCCCTGCAATAATCCTTAAAAAATATGTGCTCCTGAACTGGCTCCAGTTCTAAACTCTACAATAAATGCCTTACTGCTTCTTGCTGGTTGGAAATTGTCTTCTGTAATTCCATTCTTTAACAAATCAGATGAACCATCTGATCCTTTTAACTATGGTCATTTTAGCCTTCTACTTCTTTTTGACAAATTACTAGAGGCGATAATAATACTGTGAATTGGTTAAGCATCTCATCTCATGAGGTCTTCTTTCATACAAGGAATATGGCTTTTGCTTCTCTAGGTCAACTGCTGATCTGTTATGGCTATTGCTGAAAGAGTCTATCAAGTTTTACAAAATAATGGTGAAGCTTAGCGATCTCAAAGGTGTCTTCTTCACAAGCTGAAAGGTTAAGGTATTTCTGGACAAATTTTTGATCTGATTCAATCTTTCTTATCAAATCATGAAATGAAAATTGTCTTGAATATTCACTCTTCTAAATCTTTTTGTATTAATGCAGGTGTCCTCCAGGTCTCTATCCTAGGACCTATATTGCTTCTAATTTTCATCAACAACCTAATTGATGTCATCAGTTCTCAACTCAGTATCTATGTTGGTGACAACTATTTACTTGTGTCATAATGGCAAATCCAATTGGTTCAATAAAGTCTAATTGGCAGCTGATATCAAAAATGACCTACAATCTGTTAACTGGGGCAAGAAATGGCTTATTAATTTTAACGCCTCCAAAATGAAACTGCTATCTTTTAATCATCTGAAATAAACTTTTTTGTCTTCCATCACCATATCTATACTAACCTGCAGGAGTTATTCATTGTGCCTTCTTGGGCTAAGTTTTTCCACTGACATGAAATAGAAACATTATATTGAATCAATTGCTAGGTCTACTTGCCAGGAAAATTAGTTCTAGATTGTGCTAGACAATTTTCCTTGGCAGAATCTATCTTACACATTTATAAGTCTACCATTCATCTTTGTATTGAATATTTTCATGGTAATTGTTTTGGTGAGATTTCCTCTTTGTTACCTAGACTTCAGAAATTTAAGCACAGTACTAGATTGGCAACAAGGTCTCATCACTTTACAACTGAAATGGCTAGATGTAATCATACACTAACAGTTTCTTCTCTTGCACTTCTTGCTTATGGAACTGTTCTAGATTTCCAGTCAACTTAGATCTTCAAAAATTTAAATGTAATCTCAATCGCTATCTTTTGCTTTCTTAATTCATGTTCTTTTATTGTTCTCTCTCCTTAATAATGTTTTCTTTTTCTCATATTCTCTCACACTCAGTAATTCCTTTCATCCTAGTGGTCTTATTGCTTTGCTTGAGATGAAATGATTAACAAAAAAAATCATCATATTTTAACAGGCCAATCAAAAAAAAGGAAATAGATTAATTCAGTTTTAGGTTACAGTTATTTTATTACTTCTTTGCTCACTTTTTCATTACTTGCTTTTTCTAAAAGCTCTCTTAAAAGTACCCAGAAACTCTTCAGTTTGTCTGACCTTGAGTGATATGGCTGGGTAGTAATATCTTCAATCGAGATCAATTTGCAAAATTCTTTAAATTCATAAGCAATGAATTGTGTACTGTTTTCTGAGACCATGGCATCCTGTTTGTGTAAAAAATTCACTGTAACTGTGGAAGTTGTTTTTTGTACTTACAAATTTCAAGCCAGTAAAGCTATCCACTACCACAAGATGTGATCCGTTTATTGGACCTGCAAAATCTACGTGCAATCTTGACCATGAAGATTTCATCCTTGATGTCCACCATGAAATTCATTTAATTTCCGCATTTGTAATATGATAGGTATTACCACATTTTCTGCAAACATCAGTACTTCATTACATAGTGAGTAAGCATTCAAGTCCAGATTGAATTCCAAAAATCATGTATCTTTCTTACTTTCTTTTAGTCTTTTTTTTCAATTTTCAAAATAAACATGTCTAGTTCTGCTTTTACTTTTATTTCTCCCAGGGTAACTGATACTATACTGCATAATATATTTTTAATTTCCATTTCACTTTTTAATGCTGCAATAACAGTGTCCTCAAATGGTTCAGTATTTTTTGGTATCAATCTTGATAAACCATCAACATGTCCAAAATTTTTGGATGATTAAAGTTAGCAAAATCTATTATTTCTGTGCATTTTTGTCCATTTTTTTTATTCAGCTGATTATTAGTATTTATCAGTTTTCTATTTATTTTTCTCACTATATCCCACACTTTCTTTACTGGTTGCATTTTTCTCACTATATCCCACACTTTCTTTACTGGTTTCATGTTTCAAAATATGATACGCCATGATTTTCCAGGATTCACTTTTTCTGGTTTTAATAATGTGTCATGCCTTAACATGAGATTGTTGATAGTTCTTCAGGTTAATTTTTGTTGGCTAAAGATGAAACTTTTTAAATATTTCTTTTTGGTGTTTAATGGCTTCCCCGTATTCTGCTGTGAACCAAGGTTTATGTTCAACTTATAATTTGGATGAGGATTTAGGGATTATTTGTCCTGCCACTTGTGAAACAGGTTAGTGGGTTTGGTTATTTTGAGTTTTTTATTGGTAATTAAGGATTGACAGAGGTTTGTGAATGCCTGCCAATTAGCCTTATAGATTTGACATTTAGGAATTCTTTTTTCTGGTATTGGTTCATTGGAGTAAATGAAAATAAGTGTTGTGGGCCAGTGTATGTGTTGAAAAATAACGTGTGTCTCCTGATACCTACAACAAACATGGAAGACTCAGGATGTGAGTCCATGTAAATAAGAGAGAAAGAAACAACAAGAACCAATATATATGTGCAAACAAATAATAATGTATTAACAACAAAGGTATACAAACAACAATGAAAATAATGTGTATGACAAATGAATGTGAAAACTTTTTGGGTGCAAAGTATGTGTAGTGAGTGATTGTGCGTACATACACCACCAGTCAGAAGTATTTGGCCAGCCTCAAAAATTTTTTATTTCTCATCCTAAAAGTTATTTTTAATTAAACAAGTTAACCACCACAATGGTTTTATTTATTATACTAAATACAAGTCTTCCTGAGCCACATTAAATACAAAAACTAAAAAAAACTTCTTAAACTTTTGATTCATTAAAATGACCCACTTTGGCTGCTATCACTGCTTCACAGATTCTCAGCATTCTTTCCACCAAAGAGTGGAGGTAGACTGAAGATAGTTCTGCCCAGCTTTCTTGCAGAGGTGAGTCGCACTTGTGGATTGTTTAGTCAAGTTCATCCCACACCAGTTCAATGGGATTGTGCCGGCCAAGACATCAGTTGAAGGATGTGCTGTTTCTCTTTGCTTTTAATCTACTACTGGTATGCTTTGGGTCATTATCTTGCATGAGCACAAGCTGTATTCCAGATGGGATCACGTGATGCTGCAGTATGCTGAGGTAGCTGGTCCTATTAAATTTGCCCTTTACCTGTTGCAAATCCCCAACTTTGTAATTGCCAAAAGCCCCCCACACCATAACAGAGCCTCGTTCATGCTTTACGGTTATTGTGATACAAGGGGTTGCAGCTCTTTTACCAACTCTTTGCCACACATAGACCCTCCTATTTGACCCAAAGATTTCGAACTTTGATTCCAAAGGACTCTATTCCACTGCTCTATTGTCCAGTCTTTGTGTGCCTTGACCCAATGGAGCCTTTTGACATTGTTTTGATTCCTCAACAGTGGATTCTTGATAGCAATTCTGCCATATAGACCAGCTTCACAGAGTCTTCTCCTCACAGTGGATGTTGACACATTTTTTCACAACATTGGTTCAGTTGTGCAGTGATGTTTGGAGCAGTCATCCTTCTGTCACTCAAGCTGGTGACTGATGAAATTCTCCTTTGCTTTTGGTCTACCATCCCAGCTTTTGGTCTTGTTTTGTCCCATTTCCTGATGTCTCCTAACAGCATAATCTACTGTAGTTTTGGGAATTTTTATTTTTTTTAAATTTCTCTGCTTGAATATCCTTCTTTTTTTAAAGTAATGATCCTTTGTCTTTGTTCAAGTGTAAGTTCATGTGTTTTGAGTATTTTGTTGAGAAAAATGTTTTGATCCAGAAGAAAGTTGCAATATCTAGGTTTTAATTCAAACCAAATAGGAATAACAGATTTCACTA